TCGGGAGGTAATGTGGCCGTGATTTTCGGCGCTGAGTGAGCATGCTCCTCGAGGAGCATTTCCCACAGTCGACTGCCTATCTGATTCCCGCATTGGCCAACCTGAAATGCGATTACTTCGCGGGGCATTTCATCCAGGTCTCTTGCTGTCTTGGCGCTGCTGCCGACACTTCATGTGAAAGCATTCAATGTACCAGGGTATCCACAGTGTGCTTGTTAGGCACAATCAGCTCATGTTGGATGAAGCCGGTGGACAGAACTTGAAACTAGAAACGGAAAGAAGCCGATGAGAGCATGTAATTGCCGGTATCGACTAGATCCCGTTTGTGTAAAGTCAACAACCATCGCCAGGTGAGCCAGCGCAAGTGTTTAGTGTTCTCTTTGGATGGCCACTAATGATTCAGGCAGGGAATAGGGATATAAGTCTACACAGGACTCCGATAGAGCGCAAACTGCGATCACTTCGCAGGGCATTTCACCCAGGTCTCTTGCTGTCTTGGCCCTGCTGCCGACACTTCATGTGAGAGCACTCAATGCGCAAGGGTGTCCATAGCGTACTCGTTAGGCACATCCAGCTCATGTTTGATACGGTTCACTCACATAACGTTAATTTCTAGTGGGAAAGGACCCGATGAGAGCATGTAATTGCCTGTGTCGAGCAGATCCTGTTTGCGTGGAGCCAACAACCATCGGACGGCGAGCCAATGCAGCTAGGCGTTTAGTACCCCCTTTCGATGGTTACTAATTGTTCAGGTGAAAAAAAAGGGAAATAAGTCTCTACGCAGGATTCCGATGGCGTACAGGGTGGCTACGTAGGCTTTTTCGTTGCAAGCCACAGTTGCGTTCTTCCGGGTGTGCCATGTGAATGGCGGGCTGTCCTCAGATGGACCTCTAGTGAAAAACTAGCACAAAGTGACGATACGTGGCGGTGCATCTAATATTATATTCATGCTTGTAGGGCGTAGTATTGCTGCCCGAATCGGCCAAGCCATATCGAAAGTCCCGCTCTCGCTGCTACCGCCCGTAATAAGATTGACGAAATGGGGATCGCCATAATCCGTGGAGGCTTGAATATATCAATTTCAGATATGCTACTGCTAGTGGGTCTCTGAGGTCAAAAGCGTACGTTTGCGGTTCACTACCCCAACAGTTGCGCTTAACTACACCGTCGCAGCTCGATCTGCCTCGCCTCTGCACTGTGCTTATTTTGAAGCATATGCAGCCCGTACATAAAGCAAAATGCCCCTGAATAATAATTTTTGTAGCCTCGGATTTCATGGATTACTTGGATATGGAGGATTACTAGTCCCCACTGATGTTGGTCAAGGACGAGTCAGCAATGCAGCCGTTTTTCGATGAACGCTAATCCCCTCATTACCAGCGCAGTCGAAGGTTTGTACGGCTCAACGCAGTTACATGAGGGGAAGCTTCTTCACTCAGCCGCAAACTACTGCAGTTTCGGCCAGAACGTCCAGGCGATGCTGCGCCATTAAAATACCATGAAATTGGTGGTTTCTCCTTCTTATATTAGCTATGTCCGTCAGCCATTCCTCTGAAGTTCCGGAACACTTGCAATTCAAAATTATCGGGAGAAGCAGAAAAGTCGTAGGTTTCGAAACTGCGAAACGTTCGATTCGGGGCGTTTCAACACACTCGACGTATTCAATGCGCGCGGTGCCGGCCTCCTTCAATGCTTAGGTGCTATATCGATTAATTTGGAGGCACACAACCCCGGGAAATGACTCCTTTGAACATAGCCTGCGTGTATTGCTGGCAGAAGGGAACTTCTATTGCTGGCAGCAGGGAAATTTAGCAACTGTATCGTCAATTTTAGCAACGAAGTTGCACAAGACTGACGTCATATTCAGCAGTGAGAATGCAGGAAAGATATCCTTATATTGGCTGGCTGATCTTGGCTGGACCTAAGAGCAGTACATTTTTAAAAGTACTATAGTATTTTAGGCGGATCGTGCTGGTAAATTTATTCGTCAACTTGAGCCACAAGTGCTGCTCCTCTCTTCGCCCAAGTTGCTTCTGAATCTTCCTCCAATATTGGAAGTGGGGCCGAAACAATGAAGTTTGAAGAACCTGGTGCAGAAAGAATAGCCAGGAGGACCAGGTTCAAAACAAATTCAAAACAGTCTGCGACAAAGCCGTGTTCTCCAAGAGTTGCAGATCAAGCAATTAAAAACTGCTTACCAGAATCGCCAGGCGACCCGCTTCTTCTTGATGTGCAGTACAGGGGGCAATCATATGCTCGTTTGGGGTGCTTGACAAGAGCTAGAGGCACTGGTTCAAGCCTCAAAAGGGGCAGTGGAGAGAAAACCTCCCAGTAGTCTTGTTCAACAAGCGCCTAAAATGCATGGCTCAGCAAAAACTGCAGCAGCGGTATCCCTTGCCAGAAAGTAGTGAGCATTTGTCCTTGCTTCTGCTGATGCTTCACGACGCAAGCCACAGTTCTGTCTACCGAACTGACGGAAAAAACAGCCCAAGTAATTTTCAGGGGAAGGGTAGAATGCGGCGCAAAGGTGATTTTTGCAGTCAAGGCACTGAAGCTGCCAAAGCAAACCATGTGAAAATCTGATGTGCAAAGTGAAGCTCTATCGGTCTGAATTTTACACAACACCCTCACTTTTTCTTCCAGTGACCAACTGGCTCCATGCAGAAAAAGCCCCGATACGTCATGTGCAAACCCTGCGCCTAGCCCTTCAACTCGACGCTTTTGTGCTGAAGAATCTTCGTTCAGTGTGTCGTCCCCCTCATCGATAACATGGAAGTTGAAACCTACGGCATCAATTTTTAGGTTGTTTCGCCTCGCAAAGTGTTGTAGCATCGCTGTGCATACGCTCCGGGGGCTGAAACAGCCAGGAAGCCAGAAAGGCTGTGGGGGCTGTCCCAGGAGCCATAATTTCATGAAGTCTACGCGGCGCTTTAGATTTGCCATCCAGGCAGCGAGGCCAAACCCCATGGGATAGCTGGCCGCTGCTACTGCCTGTGGCACCCGGTTTTGCCTTAGGCACTGATGCATTTCCTCTACTTCCGGGGTGTACTCTACAGCTCCCTCAGCAGCGTCCTGTGGAACCAAGCAACAAGAAAAAAGCTTAAAATCGCTTTCCCAGCGATCCTTTTCTTACGTCAAGCTGCAGGACATTCCACGGAATACAGCCCTCAACAGTGCTATACCGTGTGCTATGGGCTACACCTGAACGATCTGCAAGCGTTTTGCCGTGATAGTAATGAGCGTATTGTAACGCGATAGCTCTTGAAGCAACACGGCATCCATTGCATTCTCATAAGATTCCGGTCTTGACGCGGCAGCAGCTTTTATGTCGAAAGGTGGCGGTAACTGAGTGAGCAGGAGACGTGCACGCTCCGTGAAATCATTACTGCTTCCAGCTGAAGAGCTGTTCGAGCCAGATTCCGGAGTCACGACCTGCTGCTGCTGTATGCGCATTAGCAGCTGTTGCATTGCTGAAGACTCCGCAGCTGCCACGGCGATTGAAGCGTTTGCTTGCAGCCCAAAAAGCTGCAACAATTGCGTTCACAAATCGAAGATCGAGTGAAAACTATTGAGTGGAAGCTCATTAAAATTGGGTGCTGGATATAACATTTGCACGACATTGTTTTCGACATCTCCAGGAGAAACAGCATGAGCTCGCTGAAATGTGTCGAAAATCTGTTGGCATTGTAGACACTCAAACTGAAGTCCTAACCTCTGGCTCCTCCTCGGCGCGTAATGATTTGAGGTATGCAAGAGTCTCGGCACACGTACAACCGGGAGATGGGGCGTTGAAAGGCCCAAATGGCGACTGTGGAGAATGTGTTTCCGTTTTGTCCTCTGCAAGCCATTCCCTACACATGTGATAAAGGAGTCTCCTGATGGCAGTAGAAAACCCATTACAAACAGCAGCGAGGCAAAATCTGCCGTGGGCAACTTGAATTAATATTTTTCCTGGAAGCTTTTTCTTAGGCAGTGTATCAGCGTCTTCCATATGCGAGAAGTTTGAGCAACGCAAACAGGGGTATGATGGCGTATTTTAAAAGGACTGCCACTTGCCGGTCCCACTCGTCTGTAACTCGGCCACCGTAGTTGACTTCGGAAACAAGGTGCTGCAACAGGCTCCAGGGTAATGGCTGCAAACTGTCTGGTGGCACGGAAGCCAGGAGCTGCTCAAGCGATATTGCTAAGTCACTGAAGGAGAAATCCACGGGACGAACCCAGCCCAACGAGCCAAAACGACGACGACCAAGGAGAAGCGCGTGTAGGAAGCATAGCCTATACACGACTGGCCTTAGCGTTGTTGCTCTTGGATGTGTATCCTGGAGAAACGAGTAGCGGCGCATAATACCTATGGAGCGATCAGGAACTTGTATTAAAAACAACAGATGTATCTGCGTTGAAATTGCAACCTGCTCAGTAGGCTACTGGTCGACGTTTATCCTTTTACGGATATCAAGCCTTTCTATGTGAAGTGGTGGGCGTACGAGCCAAGTGGGAGCAGCTTCGGTGTAAATTCGAATCAAGTTCTGGCGCAGGCCTTGAGGTGGCTCATATGCAAGTTTTAGGCTTCTCTGTGAACAATGGAGACGAGGAGAAGCACCAAACAACCGCAGTGTCGCACCCAAGTTGCATTGATTGATGTGTCAGCAAAAGTACTTTCTGGTAACGTCAGACTCTACACTCTCGCTATGCATTGCTGTGTGCACGTTAGTGGGTATTTAGGCATGCACGCACACAAGCATGCGTGCGTGGAAAGGCCGGAGAGAGCGCGCACAAGAAGGATGGCGCTGGGAAAATCATCGCAAGGGACAGTGGTCAGGATCAGCCGGAATTCCTTGTGAGGACTTTGCATTGCCAAGTCAGACACGATAACGCTGAGCTGCTTGAGGAACCCTAGTCCGAGATGGCAGTTTTGCAGAAGTACCCATTGACCACTTTCTGCTCCGCTGCTGATGACTGCAACCATGGTTCACATCACCTAGGCGGCAGGCCCAGTACACTCATCTGCTTTCACGCCAGCAAAGAAGAAAGCTGACAGGCACCACCTTAGGTCTACTGAGCAAACGCAATTCCTCATGTGCAGCTATTAGAAATGCGTTATTGTTGTGACTGCCCATGTGACCTTTAAAACGTGCTACAGCGTTCTCTGGCGTTTCCGTCTGACCGGACGATGCTTTCGGGCCTTGTCCCTTTCCCATCGCAACTGAAACAAACTTGTTACGCATGTGCATCGCTTCCGCATGCTGAAGAAGCGCTGCTTGTGGGTCTGCTCCTGAAGAAAGTAGAATAAGTAGGGGAGCTTTTGGCCCAGCTGCTTCAAGCGCCTCTCCAAGCCCTAGTGGGGCAACTTCCCCCAGAACTGTGCCTACTTCAGCGTCTGCGAGCTGCTGTAAGCAACTTCTAAGACATTCGGGCCTTATGCACTGAACCAGTAGCGTCTGCTGCAGCATTGACAAACGCTCGCCCCAGCGTTCAGGCCATTCGCTAACCAAAGGGTTTTCGTCGAATAAAGCAGCTTCCCAGTCGTTGCTGCCTCTAAGGACAGAGGAGACAAGAGATATGAATGGCTCTCCAAGGAGACGAAGGCCCTGAAGCTTTTCACGACAACTCGGTGTCAGCCACGAGCTGTCGGCAGCGTCCAGCGGAGCAGAAGGGGAAACTTGGGATCTTTCAGGCTCACAGTTCTCCACCATTGGCAGCACCACTGGAGCTTGTAACTGCTGCATTTCCTCATGTGTAGCTGCTCCTCTCAGATGAAGAGATTGCAATGCAAAGAGAACTGGAAGTAACGGCTTGTGACTCTCAAAAAGGCAAGGGTGAATGCTGCGATAGACTCGTCTCAGCGTTGCACCAACTAAATCGGCCGTGTACTGGCCAGCATCTTGTTGCCTGCTGGTAGAATCGGGCTTTCCTAAGACCTCCTGAATGACCCAGAGCCAAGCAGGGACCCAGTAACCGTGAACTGATTCTCGCAAATGATTCTATATCGGAACTCGCAAAGTGGTGCTGGCAGCCACGCTCATTAATGAAATGCCGGTTAGTTAAGGCTGTCAATGATGGTGTGTCCCGCACCAAGACAGCATCGACGAAACATTGTTGGAAGGTCTGGACGCTAAACAGGTACATTGGGTGTGCAGTTTCGAGCTGCTGCAGTACTTGAAAAAGACTGGACGCGCGCTTAGCAACTGGGGAGTACAGCGAAAGAGTTGCGTCGGCAGCTGCCTGGGCTCTCTGCTGTTCTTGAAGCCTTTCACTGCAGCTTTCAGAGATAGCCTTCGCATGACGCAGCGTGCTAAGTAACTCCATGTCATCTAGGACGCTCTCCTGTAGCCATATACCCACTCAAACAAACGACTTAACAAACCGTAGTGTGCAGCAGATGCGAGGCAGTGCTTGTCGGGCTCAATGTAGCACATTACACTACTGTTGAAAGCCGCCTTTCCAACGGTGCGCCTTTGAGCTGGCAAATGCCATCGATCCATGCTGAAAAGGAATTTCATGCGACACGCTGCAAACCACAGAAACTACAAAGTACAGGATGCGCATCAAAGGCTAGCCCCACTTTAGCGTTGCTCAGTGCTTCAAGCATCCGATGCTCCGCAGCTACGAGTTGCGCGCGCGTTTCCGCTCCCTCGTGCACAAGGCGTAAACAAGTTGCATGAATATCTGGGGCAGCAGCTTGGAGAGCAAGTCGCAGTAGCCTCTGCTCCAAACCTTTGCAACCCACGGAGAAATCGATAAGAGTAAGCCTCGAGCAAACCTCTGGCGGGAAATGGGGAGCATTTAGTGGTGTCTTTAATAACAAGCGGAAGCTCGGATGCACTTCAACAAGTGCGCTACCAAGAGCGACGGCGGAGGAGCGGCCCTCTCCCAATGTTGGAATGTCAGTTTCTGACGTCGGGAATGTGAAGGAGGACGACGCGGCTTGTCGCGGTCTTCTCCACTCCAGTAAACTGTTTAATGCAGGATCCAATCCCTCGAAAAAGCATTCCAGAATTACTACAGCACCACATTGCAGCATGAGCTGCAAGGACCTCTGCAAATTTGGCTCCTCAGCCCGCAGCACCTGGGTTAAAAAACACAGAGCTGCGGGCCACTTACCTTGTTCATACAAGAGACAGAATAAAACTAGAAATTTTGCAGAGACTGCATTCATTCCGTCTTACCTTCATATCAGGAAATGTGCTAGCCAACCAAGGCGTCGCCTGTTGATGAGGATCAATAAGCATAGGGCAACATTGTGCGTTGAGGGTGATGGCGGCATTTTCTATAGAGAGCTCATCATCGGGCAGCCCTTGCATGAGCCATTGCTGCACTTCCTGAGGGCTAGTCAGCGCTTCCTGCATGGAGTAATTAGGCGTGCTCTGCACGCCAAACTTTTCTAAGGCTTGCTGCCAAGACGTGAGACACCGTAGTCTGTAGGAAGGGCGAAAAATGCCGCCAAATTCAATAAATGCGGCACTTAGAGTAGCATCTCCTGTAATTCTTGGCACTTTACTCTGCGACAGTCGAAGGGCGCAATTTATATTTACGACATCCACTCTTCCGGCCAACCCGTCTGGCCAAAAGCCTTATATAGCTGTTCTCCGATAATTCCACAGTACCTGTTTACTCTACTTCTTGTCTATCTGTTGCCATGTGTCACTGGCAAGAATTTGGCTGTGGAGCTACATAGTTATTTCCAAGGCCACTGAGCCTGTGCAAAGTGGCGAAGGCGCTTCGAGTGCAGGAGTCACTTTTAAAGCTTCGTGGCTTTCACTCCAACGGTTACGTTCACCCCCAAGGCTGGCAATGAGCTTCTCAGCCACTGAAAGGCGTCTTTCACAAGTTTGGGCTTCTTGCTGAAGTGCTTCCGAGCGTTGAAGAGCCTTCTGATACTGCTGAGACAGCTGCTCAATTAGTGTTTCAAGTTGCAACAGCTCTTGCTTCTTGTCTTGGAGCAAAAATTCGGCAGTCCGCAACTCGCACTGAGCCTGCTGAAGAGCTTCGCGGCGAGGCTTTACCGCACTGTTTGCTCTGTCGTACGCAATTAAGGCCTTTACCCAAAGGCAGAGACTCGTAGCTGCGACAGACGCCTTCTTGACGATATCGGGATCGAAGTCCGCATCTTGATCATAGGGTGCAATGGCTGCCATAACGGTTGGCGGAATATCATCTCTGTCAAAGTTTAGCAGGCGCTGCAAAAAGCGACTATTTCCTAGCAAGTGTTTCTTTGCTGTCTGCCAAAAATCTGGCTGACGAGGCTGTCCCGGGGTAACTTGAACAAGAATTGGCTGTATTCTAAATAGCTTGCAGAGAGCTTCCATCACCTTCACTACTCCTGAAGGTGGAGCTTTCATGCTTTTGAGTTCTGTAATGTCAGCTTTGCTTAGCTTCTTAAGGGCCTCTTCTGCTGCCAATAGCGCGGGCATGACTTCAGCTAGTTGGTCTTGACATTCGCGCTCAACTGAAGCGGCTGCGTCAGCTTGAGCCTTGCAGTCTCTCTCTTCGGCTTCAACAAGGCTCTGTCGCGCAAGACACCGTATCAACAGGATAACCGACAACGCGTCTTATGCCCACGAACCACTAGACATGAAATGTAGATGCCCTGATAAACCGTACTCGATGGAAATGACATATTTTGGCACTCTTCGCATAAACGGTATTGTTTGCAACTTTGGCTTTACCATTGTAGTCGAAGCATGCTCCCGCTTGGAGCTCAAAACTTGCATAAGCTGTTGCGTCTCCGCTGATGCCTTCGCCAGCTCCGGTTGAAGTTTCTCCAGCTGTTGCTGCATTTCCATAACCTGCAGGCTAACATCGTGAAGCTTTTGCAAGCCAAGCTCGTATTGCTGCTGCTGAAGACGGTATTGAGACGCCCGTGTCATGAAAACGTAACAGAAACCGTCTAAAAAGCGAAGAAAAGAGGCCGGAGTGACATAGAAGAATCTTCGTTGCTCTTCTCGGTAAGAATCTGCAATATTTTTCGTTGACTCAAAAATATCAGAACATGCCTGGCAAAGCTGTCTCATTTTTTCACTTGGGTGTACATACGAGGAAAACCCCATTTCGCCGCCGTCCTCCACAGTATTTTGCATGGCTGGCACAGCGCCGTCATGCTGTCGCAGTGCAGCAGATACCAGCATCAACTTTTGTTCGGCAACGGAATAGAGAGCCTGAGATGACCAGCTGCGAAAGTAGTTTATTGTGCAGCAGCCCGTGAGAACAGGAAATCGTCTGAAGAGCACCTGAGTCTGGGGGTTGCTGGGGCTGCAGTACACGCAAATCCGGAGTCGTTGACGACACTCTGCTGCCAACAGATCCGCATTTTTTAGTGGAAAGTACCCACTGCTTCCATCACTCAACTCAGTGCTTTCTTTGCCGCCGCTCGACGGTGCCGCATTGGAAGCTTTTAGCCGCAAGGCATTAATAGCCTCTGCCTGGAACATGAACCAAAGAGGTGAAGGAGAGCGCAGAAAAACGTGAACCTACAGGATCTCTGTGAGGCCCTTGCATCAATTTGCTCTTGTGACCCGCATCCTATTGTTCCGCAAATGTCAGTCTATCAGGATGAAAAGTGGGATAGACGTGCGTTTTCTTCAATAAACATGTGGTGTAGCAAGAAAAAAAAGGTGACTTAGACGTGCGTCTTATTGAATACGCATTATTTTCTTGGCCACTCAACTACATTACACCGGCTTAAACAACACTCGCACTTACCTTCTCATCGGCACTGAAAATGTCCGGAACTTCTCTCAGCTGGAGGAGCGTGCAAATATGTGCAGCGATTTCATCGTATGCGAGATGCTCAGCGGGCACAAGTAACAGCTGAGGCTTTTTCAGAACCGCGGTGGCCAAAACAGTGTTCTTCAGTTCCTCTTGCCACTCACCGATCGCAACTGACTGGAACAACGCGTGCGGCTCCACTGTACCAAACCCAGCTAAGAATGCAGCGAGGCGAGCGCACGACCGACGACCAGACCCGCCAACACCCAGGAGTAGTGTATGGCCTTGTGGCTGGAGAAGGGTGTTCATACACCTCAATGCATGCTCGACGGCTTGAGGAAAGAGCACCAGGGACAGTGGCTTGTTGGGATGTAGCAATGAGTACTGCTCAAGGGCAGCTGCGCAAAGCTGGTGTGCTTCTGCAGGCGTGACACGCTCGTACACTCTTGCCCCCATTAGGCCATCATCTGCAACAGCAGCCCCATATTTTGCTCCCGTCGTGGACCCGGCTACCGGTTCGCGAAAGGCGAAGAGCAAAGGCCTTTGCTTTGGGGGATCCAGTTCGTCTAAGCTGAAGGCTGTTGTGTCTTTTAGAACATCAGCCAAGGTAGCTGCGAGCACTTCCATGTCGGGCGCATTAGCTGTTCTGTCTTCGAAAACTCTCCGCACCTCGTGAACCCAGCAGCTTAGCAGTTGGTTTTGAGTTTGGAGTCCCGCAGGATTCACAGAAGAAAGCCTCTGTACAACCCTCCAACAGTCCCTTGGAGTCCACTGCTGTATCCAGCGACAGGGCCGGAGGGGAAGCCGCTGCTGGATATGTCTATAAAATTTAGCAGTTAGCAGCGCAACTTTTTTTAATCCCTCTAGCACGCTGTCTGCGCAGCTGTCAAAGCGGAGCAACAGAATTTGATGCAAAATGGCTTCTAAGGACTCTGCAGAATATGGTGTGCCCATTAGAGGAAAAAAGTGCCTAGCAAGCCTCTCATTATACTGCTGCTGCTGTTGCACAGGGCGGCGAGCAGCCGTAAGAGTCAAGCCTTCGACTGAACAGAACTGCCATGAGCTTCCTCTGCTCCATCCACCACATTCCAGCAGCTGCCGTACGAGCTCGCCTACTGGTTGTGCCCCTGACTCTTCTGTTGTAGGCAAGTGTATATCATCTAGCAGAAGAAGGCAACTTGGGAAACCAGCGGGCCGCAAAGAGGAGCCGTGTGACCTCTCCATCCTTGCTTCTAGCCACTGCTGCACAGAGTTCGGAGTCGCTGCTCCAGTGAGGGTAAGTGCAAGAAATGCAAACGCACCTGCGACGTTGCTGGAAGTAGCCAATGGACCTTCAGGAGCCGATTTCAACATGGTTCTTCCCTGTTGTGCAGAGGGCATACTCCGGCCACGTAATTGTTGGAGAAACTTCTGCTGGCTGTCTGCGGCCATCAGTTGTAGCTTTTGGAGCATGCACTTGCTTTTACCCCCACCTGCCTCCCCAACTAAAAGGAATGGCGCCTTTCCGTGGATCACAACAAGATTTAAAAAAAATTCGAGCAAAGACGTCTCCTGCGTCTCTATAAAAGCATGTTGAAGTGAGGCTGGCGTTATGGTTGCACCCTTTCGAACATCTGGGAGCATGGGCAGAGATGCCCATGTGTGCCACTTCTTCTGCTGCACATCCCAGAAAACGTCAAAACAACTCCCCATTGGAGGGAGATGGTGATTGAAGCGTCGTGCGCGCCTTTTTGTTTGAGTTTCTCCTTGGCGCATTTCGATGGAAGTTTCCGGACTTGAGGGCGGATTGGAAGCCAGAAGCCCCATTTGCTCTAAAATATCGAAGCGCCCGCTATGAAGGTTGCGGAAGACCACGTCAAATGCAGAGCGTTCAGAGGCACACAAGGTGGCACCAGTGCCCCACAGCAAGGCAAAGACAAGTGCACTCTCCAAAGACTGCTCAAGCAGATCAGCCACCTTCCCTTCTCCTCGCTGCAACGACTCCACTCACAGGCATGGTAGCGTGCAGAATATAGTGGTTCGGACTATAAATTTCGAGCAAAACTACACGTTTGTCCAGAGCTAGGCACATCATCAACAGACCACATTATTCGTAACCGTTGCGGCCAGAAAACGGAAACGTTGCACGGTGCCAAATAGAAGTGCTGAAATTCACGTGGGCGGCAACAATTGCTATCAAATCGGATGCTACGGGTAAATTTTTCCTGAATACGCAACAGTGGTGTGAAATCGGTTGCTTTCCAGTAGCAACTCTTTAAAAGGATCACCTGTGCTGGCACGGTGATTTGAGCAATAAGGGCGTCAAGAAGACGAAGAACATTCAAAACCATCCTAAGTGAATCAAAATTCGCACAGTTGTAAAATAAATACACGCGACATTCCTTGCATAAATTGCATGTACCAGTGCAGGCGCCACTGGGATGTGACGTAAGCGTAGGCCTCAAACTGGACGATTCCACCAACAAACCCTCGAGACTAGCAACTTACCAGTTAGGTGAAATTCTGAGGGGTCCTCCACTGCACATGGAAAGAAAAGCGATGCACACGGCGCAGGACTCAAACAAAGTGTCTTTGACATCTTTTGCAGTAGCGCCGCCAAGGAGTTTTGCAGTAGGCGAGTGCAGACTCCAGGCCTGCAGAAGGCTTTCCCATCGGACGACATCCTGATGGATGTATACCATGCCACAACGAGAAACCGTTGCAGGGGAAGCGCAGCGCAAGTCTGTCACCTCGAATAGCAAGGCCGTCTGGGGTGACAGCAGCACAACCTCTCCGCTGCTCAGACACAGCTTCTTGTTGTCGTCTAGAACCGTATTCAGGTTCTCAATCCAGCCCTGTGTGACAATGCAACCCATAAAATTTGTACGCTGAGATTTTACGTACTGTGGGCTCCCTTTTACGTGGGCTTCAGGCTCTGCACAATGAACGTTGCACAGACCTACGTTGCTCGTGGGGTTTGACCATCGACAAAAAACTACGGCGTCTCGATCCTTGTCAGTGAGGTGCCACCAAATATCTTGCCGAAGTGTGAAAATCTTACCACGTCCACGGGACCATCCAAAATAATCCAGCGGCGGATGTTGCCATCTTGCTCCAGTGAGGCTTCTCTAACGGCTTGCTCAAGGGCGCCCCCTTTCCACTCGCGCGTTGTTGTGTCAAGGGAGCCGTATAACTCCTCAACCTGGAGAGCCTTAGGGAATATGCGGCGGGCAATGCATGTGCTGGTTGCACGATGGCTGTCATTAAGATTTCTTTCGACGTCCCTGTTCGCCTGGTTGTTCACCTCAGCAGTAGAGACGTGAATTCGATCAGCACGCGTGGTGTTCTCGTTGCTAGTTTCATGCAATTCGGTATTCAGAGATACTACTGACGCTGCTGTGGCAGCAGCTGCTGCTTGCTGTAGTTCAAGAGCCAGCACAAGGCATTTCACTGCTGAAGTCTTCCCTGTGGCCGAAGAACCAACAAGCATCAGCCCATGGCGATGGTCTAGCGTATTAAGGACCTGCGACGGATCAAGAAAGAACGAAACCAGCATTTCAAAGGAATAATAAGGCGCTGCGCTTTTATTGTGGTGCGGTGACTATCTAGTAGTGAATGGAACCCTACGCGACTACTGATACACCCAAAGTATCACAAGCTTCCGGTCCTTTCAAGAATGTTTGAGGGCGAAACATTAGTTTGATTCAATTGTGTGTGAACAACTAACGAATAACTGCGGGAATCGCGTATGAATAGTGTAAAGAGAAGAAAATCGTTGCGAGCAGCTGAAGTTGCATGATACTGTTACAGTGCTCTTCAACTCCCCAGCGCACCTGCAAAGATTTCTTGAGAAATTCCTCCGAAGGATCAAGAAGCAGCTGGGTTGCTGCTTCAACCAAGAACGGCCTCAGATGCTGCTGCATTTCCGCCGCACCCAGGTCCCCTTCGTCAAACACATCCCTTAAAATTTCCTCGAAGGTCAACTGGTCCGTAGGATGAAGCTTTGGCACATTTGTTAAGCGAAGCGCCTTGCAGAGCGTCACGGCCTCATGCCTTGTTGCCTCTTCTGCACTTTGAGAGTGACAATCGACAGGGGAAGCTTCACGTACTGCCGTTGCCTCAGGCTGGTGACGAAACAGATGCTTTGCAGTATTAAGGACAGCCACAGCGGCTCGCATTCCGAAGTCGTAATGGCTTCGCCGTGCAAGCTGCTCTGATGCAAGCTCGAGGCATGTAACCATCTGCATTAGGCGCGTGCACCGACAGCAAGCGTTGTGGACTTGAGCTTTCCAGTGTCTTGGTTGTTTTAACTAGGGCCAATCAGGTATATCTGCGAGCTCCCCTGTGAAGCGATGTGGGTACGTATAGCTATGTTGCCTGGCGTACGATTATATGAAGACGTTTGCTCACCTTTTTTGAGAGCTTGTAGGCATCTTGAAAGCCGCTGCAGTAAAGAACGACTTCAGCGATTAAGGAGGCATCAGGGACCATCATAGCGCAGGGTCGGAACAGGGCCTAATGCAAATGATACGATACAAAGCTGTAGTTAAGTCTTCCCATACCAAGCGTCATTTTGAATTGTTCTAGGATGACAAGATTTGCTAGTTCAACGAGAAGATTCACTAGAACAAAGGCAACACAATTTGACTTATTGAAAGGGAACTTGCGCATGAGGGCACAATCAGCAACCGTGAACTGATCTATTGAAGGGATAAGCAGTGTAGATCATCCCATCTAAGCGCAGTACTGCATCGCACTGTTCTGGGGTATAAAATACAGCCAACCTTTAGGGTATCGGGCAACGTTGCGCGTCCAGCGTATCCAGGGTTCATTGTGATGTTAATAGCGCAGGTTGGGTTAAGTTGGAGATCTGTATCTTCAAAGACAAACGTTATGGCATTCCTTCTGATGGCTTGTTGAATTGCGGAAATTTGCAGTGCAACGATGGACAGGACATCAAGTTGCAGCCTGTTGAACTCGTCAAAGCAACACCAGCCACCGCTTGCTGCGATCCCCTTTAGCAAGGCAGCCATCGCCGTAGCATCTAGGCCCTCGCTACAATTAAAAACAAGGCATGGCTTTCCTACAGCCTTTGCGAGGTCTTTAGTTGTCTCTGTCTTTCCTGTCCCTGCTGGTCCTTCGGGAGCTCCACCATACTGGAAATGCAGGGCTGTCATGAGAGTGCGGTAGCACCGATCTGTTAGCGGTGTTACTACTAGACGGTCAGGACTACGCAGCAATTCGAAGCCATAGTTCAGGGAGCTCTCTAACATACAAATCTGTAGGCCGCCGCTGGTCCCTCGGCCTCCAGTTCTATTCAGCCGTCTCCCACCGGCAAAATAGCCACCAGGCACAGCTCCGCCGCCTAAATGGTGTGAACCAGGGGTCCAGTAACTTCGAAGGTGGCAAATCCATTCAAACTGATTCATATGACTAGTCTTCTTCTGTCTCAGCTCCTCGGCTACATCGCGGCAGTGCACGTCCAATGTCAACAAAGTCGCTAGCACCGAACGACTGTCAGGGCTTAGAGGTCCTCTGACCGCCTCAACTAGCTAAGAAGCACGCAGATAAATGCAGAGAAGCACATCTATATGTGGACTTGAAAGAACCAACGCAGCCCGTGCAAAGCCGTTTTGAAGGGACAGTAGGCAAACCTGTTGCAGCTGGTGTTGCAGGTCCTTCACCAGTTGCGGCAACTGGTGCTGCAGTATTGCTGCCTCCACCTGCGTGGTCCAGCAACAATGTGCTATGGCCAGTGCTGCCTGGGAGCACCCACACCGTTCTGTAGCCCACAGCAACCGAGTTGGAGCTGCAGGAAATTCTTCCCAGGCTCTCTGCATGGCGTGTTGAAGCGCCGCGCACATTTCGCGTTCGATCTGTTGAAAAAGACACACTGAAATGGCTTTTACCTTTGATCATGACTGCTAGTACATGAGAAACGGTGGAAGCTTCGAGTTCTTGGTTCATCATTCATGCATCTGTGATTTTGCGACTTGATTAAAATGCCACGCAGATTTGCGATGTTTTTCAGTAATATGTTCCGTTGCAGGCATAGGATTTCAGCGTGCAAAAGGTATTGACAGCATCAACGAGCTGAGTGTTATTTGACTCCGGTGTGTGCGGCCTACAGAGGAGAAAACGTCTTCGATACTGATCGATTTTCCGTCATGTGCCAGTTGAACTGGCATTAGAAGTTGAAGGGTTTCCTGCCTGTGGGATATAATGATATTGGCCTCATTCGAGTCCTGGTCATACTTCATTGAGGAAATGCCCTCAAAGCACTTCTGAATATGAGGAACAAGGGCTTCAGCGTGACTGGCACCAGCCAGCAACTGTACAAGCTCCTCGTTTGACAAAAAGAAAAAGCGCGGGAAGGCCAGCCGTTTTCTTTCTAAAAATTCATTCAAGCCCTTCACAACTGATTGCATCTCGATGCAAGCAGAACGCAGCTTTTGAGGCAGCTCTTCGAGGTCGGCCAGATCCAGCAAGCCCGAATTCTCGTCAAGTCGAGAGATGACTTCATCCTTCCATAGTTTGCCCACCGAGCTAAGTAGGTCAGCTTCCTTCGCTAGTTGCTGCTGCATTTCAGGGTAATCGAAGATGGGTACCAAGTACACCCACGAGACCTGGCAAGCCTCCAAAAGATTGCATAGAGTATCAAGATCACTTAGCTTTCGCAACCATTCGCGTGCTTGCAGTTCTACGCCACCCACCAGCTGCGAAGCCTGCAAACTTTGCACACTTGCTTGATGTTCCTCGATCAGAGAGTGTACAGCGTCAAAGCCTTTGAGTATTTTTCTGCCCAAGGACGCATCTCCAAGGGTAACCAGATCCATTCGGAGAGCCCGCCACGCCCCTCTCATCTTCTGGAAGCACGCTTTGGTGCGGAACTCTCGGAAGGCGGCAGAGCCAATTAGCTCAATTGCTTGCGTAGCTTCTGGCAAGCCTCTTTGAATTAGTGTGTTGAGTGACAAGAACACACCACTCTCTTCCGTAGCGTCAACCTCCAGCCTTGTTGCAAGCTCCTGCCAGTGCTTTGCTTGGAATGATGGGTGCGTCAGTGTTTTCATTAAGGGCAGCATCTTTTGGAAGGCCACAATAGCCTGCAGCAGTTCGTCACATGCCTGAAGCGGCTCGACAGAACGGAAGATACCCGCCATGCGCCTCAAAGATGATACCGCTTGCCGCCACTGCTGCAATTTTTCTTCCATATCAGCGCAGTCAAGGTGAGCTAATGGCGCGGCTTTCCACTCTTCGCGGTTCTTTGTAAAGTCGAACGCTGCTGTCCAAAGCTACAATCACAGCGTCACGCCGCAAGTCAGTTTTGAGACCTTGAATCCAACCGGCAGGTGTTGCAGAGTGTGTAAGATATCGAAGCAATTGGGAGGTGGGATCGCTCCTGCTTGAACTGCCAGTCAGCAACATGTGGTGACGCGTCGAAGAAGTTGGTGAAGAAATACATTACAGCAATCAGCTATACAGCTTACTTCGTTGAGGCGGTCGAAAACAACACAAACGCCCTCAAGCTCCTCAAATTCTGAGGCTTCAAGGCCGAAGAGAGCTTCAGCTTTACGCAAATTGTCAATCTCTGATCTCGCAGCGTATACCCTTTCACTCAGCTTCTCCAGAGTTTGCCTGTAACTAGCACACTCTTCCACGTGCTTAAACATCGTCGTTGCTGCGTCCAACTCCGCACGGAGCGCCTCACACTCTGTTTGTAAGTGCTGGGCGCTGATTTGCCTTCTTGCTTCTAGCTGCACCAACATAATGCCAGGGCAACCGTATATCAGGCAAGGCATTGCAAAGCTCGAAATCGTTAACGAGATGCCGCTGGTAGCGCTTGTAGGATGATGTGAACCAATACACCACAATGCAGCTGAAGCAATGCATGGGTAACGAGATGCCGCTGGTAGCGCTTGTAGGATGACGTGAACTAATACACCACAATGCAACAGAAGCAATGCTCGTCGATGCATCTGCACTTTTCTGATACATAAAAGCCAAACTTGAGCATCTTTCCTAACTTTCGGCCAACTGAGCAAAATATGCCTACCCTCTCTTTCGCTAAGTCAAGAATGCCGTTTGTCTCGCACAGAGCCATCTTAAGTTTCATTGGACAGCAATCTAGTTCAAAAGCTTGCTTTTGGACCCTCAATGCAGTGAAGACGAAGTGTTGTTCGAGAAGCGACATGAGATTGGTGAGAGTTTGGCCTCTCGCAATTAGAGGCGCTGTCTCCTGGTGGACCACAGCCAAGTACCTCTTCAATTCGACTAGCTCTTGTTCGCTAGCTGGGACCATTGAAGCCTTAGATAAGGCCACTTCCCAAGCTTTATGGAGGCTGCTTACTTCGTTCTCCACCCATGCTAAGGCCTGGTTACACAGTTCGTCCTTAAGATTATTTACTCTAGTTCGCAGCATTCCCTTAGCTTTTTCTCCATCCACAAGAAAGATCCTCGCTACAACCCTCGTCGTTAGCTTTCGAAGGCGACTTTCTGCTTGTTGAAAGCTTTCTAGTATTTTTCCCAGCTCTGCCAAATTCACTTTTCCATCTGCATCAATCGGCAGTGCAGCAGCGGCGCGTAGAGTAGCGGCCACCTCGTCAAGCTGCTGGCGTAGTGTTTCTGCCTCCTTAAGAGAAGCCTGCACTGCGGACACCATTGCTTCCTCGGCAGCAGCTAGAAATGGCTCTTCGAGAGATAGTGGGAGCAATGGCTCCTCTGCTGAAGGTGCAAACGGCATTAAGTCGCCCTCTGATAAATAATGCGCAACAGTGCACATACAGTAAACGGTGACAATCTTGAGATGCCATTGTTCAAGGCCGGCAAAGTTTTCATACTTTCTGAACAAAGTTGGAGTTCCTGATAATTAAATGTGCGAGGAGTTGCGTCATGCCATGTACTGAAAGTTGTGCTTTATTCCAGTTCATTGACAACCTGCTACCAGGGTATGCTGCGGCAACGAGAAAGGACTCTGTAACAGAAGGTCAAGGGTCATGAGGTGCAGTAGCTAGGGACGGATATGATCAGTAAGCAGCTGACCCAGTTTGTTGATTGTTGAAACAGCTTCTACCATGGTCAAGAAGGCTTGCCGGAGAAGTGCCTCTACACTGAAGGAACATGAAAAACCGCAGCTGAGCGTCAAGTCGTAACTTGCTGTTAGCGGGATGTAATAGGCGGGACAAAATCAAGGAAAGTGTGTTGCTTTGGCTTGCTTATAGGAAGGTGTGTTGCTTTGGCTTGCTTGTCTGGGGATGGATGAAAGACGGCAGAGTCGTCGGCGATGAGAATGCTCAACTGCAGGAGGCAAGAAGCATTCCCTTCGAACTGAAATCCCGCAGCCAAAGTCGCATCACCACTTTGGTGTGAGCGCTGACCAAGTTGCTCGTCTACTGCTGCTCGCAGCATGTAGGACTTCCACTCGTTTGCAGAGTCCGTCACAAATGACAAAAGGTTGCTCCGCAACATTACATTGAATCTAATAAGTTGCCGGCGCAAGAATGTTTCAGGTAGTCCTGTTACCACCGTATTAAGAGTAGCAGGAGATGAAGCGGATGCCCCCACGGCTATTCCCGTTGTACCTCCTCCTGTCGAATGAAGAGTAATGAGCGCGTGGCAAAGAGAATCTCTACCAAGCTCTCTTAGGGCATCAGCAACATCCAATGCCAGCGCTTGCTGATATACAAGGTATTGTTCGGGATCTGGAACCTGCAGGTACAGCCAGTGCAACCCCAGTGTAGGCTAGTGCTACAGATAAGCCAACAGGTGCCAGCCCCAACATTTTAGGCTAGCTGGTGCGCCATGCAGATGCATAAAAAAGTGCCAAACGGCACTAATTTATTTGCAGCCGAATGCTCCGTAGCCGGTCAGTTACAGTACCTCTGGTGAGCTCAATAGAGTAACAGCTGGATGCATGCTGTGAAGAGCAAGAGCTGAATTCTAGTAGCTGGCTTACAGTCCATTCAGGGAGCTTCAGGGCAGATGATTTTTTGAATATTCTTGCGAAGCTGACGCGCTGAGGCTTTCGGCTTGGCAGGTCAAAAAAACACAACCCTCTCAAGTCGCAAAACGTTCCCTCCAACAGCAAGCTTAGCTGCAGGCAACGTGCAACGGCTCTTGTGAATCCGCATTCAGGACAAAATTCACCGCGTTTACATGCTCAAAAGTTGAACCCTTAAGCCAGTCATCAAGCCTTGTTTCATTGCCACGTGCTACACATTGCTTCATTACCTACTTTGAAAGTTTTTTCATTCGCGAATAGGGGCTTTTTGCGGAGAGCAAGCATTGCCCCTTCGAAAGCTGCACTAGCACCGACATTAAGCCTGCCAAACGCTGGCAGCGCGGGCGAAAACATCGGTTGCAGAACTTGCAACAGCAATGGCGGCCCCTGCAACGCTTCCTCCTGACGCAAGTCTTGATTCTGCAGGCCTTGCTGCTGTTTCTGTGACGAAGAATTGGCCGAAATTGATTCGAGCTTGCCTGATGCGCGAAGACGCTCCGCGCAGTAAAGGACTGCACTTAGCTTTGAGCCTTCAAGAAAACGGTCTTTGAGGTACTGGATGGCTGGACGGAGAGTATCCATGTGCGAGGACATACTCCGTAGCCGGCCCACCGCTGTGGCCGCTTTGACTATAGAAGCGAGAAAATTCTGTGGAAGAGGAGCAAAAGCCGAGGATGGCAAACTATTGACAGAGTTAAGCAGCTGCTGGCGAAGGACCGCTTGCCGCCGCCTGTTTGTACAAGCTTCTAATCGCTGCTGTTGAAGATGCGGTGGTTCGAAGCAAAAACGAAGGGCAAGGCGTCTGACGGTCTTAATTGTCCCATCACGAAGCTTTACTTCGAACCTTCGTTGCCCGCTGTCATAACCTAGTACAATGCATGGAATATGGGTCCAGCTGCTGCCAACAAAGTGCAAAACTTCCGCCTCTGCCTCTCCTTCGCTACTCTTTGCGGCAGCTGCCGTTACCTCCCCCAAAGGAGGTGCATTTTCTGGGAGCATTTCCGGCATCTGGCATGGTGGGGAAGCTTGACCAGCTTCGCTTTCAGCTGGCTTGCCTGTGCTTGTTGCCTCCCCCTGTGAGGCATCAGCCATTAACTGTTTTTCTTTCCGTTGTACCTCCAAACCGACTGCCGCTTCATCATTATTGCAAATCGGGTCCTCCTCAAGCTTTGACGGATGGTAGGGATTGTTTGCAGAGACTTGGCTGGCAACGGTCAGGGAGGCAGAGTGTCTGCTAGATGTTTTTTGAGGCAGCTCACTTTTCTGGTGCCTCGTTTCAAGCCGGCGTAGCTGGCATTCAGAGCGGCAGCGCTCTAGCAATGCTTGGGGGCATGCCTCGCCGTAGTCTTCCGGAATGTCAAAGGCTTCCAACGGAAGGTTTTTAAGGTCCGATAGCGCATGTTGTGACTTGTCACTTTCGTGGTTGTAATGTTCATGCTCAGGCCTGCCTTCACGTTCAGTGGCCGCGAGACCAACAATAAGCTTGTTGCTAACATCATTGGCCTGAGCAGTAGTTGAGACCGTCTCTAGCATTGCTGGGAAGGACTGGCCCATTTGTGGGCCATTGCTGGGGCTCTTACTCGCCTTTCCCACACCACGCTTCTTCCGACCGATATCGAGCGAATAGTTTTCTGTAGTTTTTAGCTTTCTCAGCAACACCATCACCTCTTCAAGCGGGTTGAATGGATGCGAATCCTCTTCTTCCGCAGAGCCTTGTGAACTTTTATCGCTAGAATCTAAATGGGCGCTGTGTTCTTCAAATCGAGATGTGGGATCCCTTTGTCGTCTTTGAGCAGAGTGCTGCTTTAGGTTTGCTCTAGAAGGCAGTACACTGGATTGGTGCCTTCCTGACCGATGAAATTTCGTGATGGACGCTGCCGGCGGTGAAGAAACAGAATGCTTAGCTCTGCGCGCTGTTGCTAACTTCGCTGGTTCCGATGTACTAGCTGCAGATGCTCCAAGGTGCCTTTGAGCAGCCCTACTCGACTTTTGGTTTGCTTCCCCCTTTGCTCTTGGAACAATGCTTTTTGGCCTACAAGACGCGCGGTTCGCTATAGAAGGTGGCTGTCGGTCACAAGCAGACCTTACAGCAGGACGGTGCTTTTCTTTCGCTTCTTGGCGATGCATCTGCTCAAGCTCCTGCTGCCGCGCTTTATGACGCGATGGCCACTGTGCTTGTGCAATTGCGGCAGAGGCAGCAGCTGCCGCTGCCGCCGCTGCCGCAGCGCGTGCCTCCTCCCTTGCTTCAGCCTCATCAACAATTTGCTGATCTTGCTTCTGCGATGCTAAGGCCTCCTTTTGGGCGCTCACGTATGCTTCCTGCTGTTGCTGTGGAGTTTTATTCGTGCTTAGTTCCCTTACTTCAGCCTCCACAGCGTGACGCGCTCTTGTTTCCACTGCATTTCTCTGCGTAGCTGCTGCAGTGAGAATACAACGCGACCGTTCTGTGGTGGCGCTGTGGCTTAGACCACGGCGTGCAGGGAACTGCCCGCTAGGACCCCAAGCTTTGCGGGAATGGCGATGGTCTTCAGCTAACCATTCGCGGAAGGTGGTGAGTGTGCGCTTGCGAGGGGCAATGAAGTATCTGGACCCCACGAGTGAGGCGCGCTGACCTGAGCGTCGCGGCTTATTAAGAACTGAAACGAACGCAGGCCCTGCAGCGCTGCTAACTCTAGTGGCTTGTATGGGGCACTCCGTTAAATCGTGCGAGCCAACATGGACAGCTGCCCAGGGTGGCAACAAAAAATAGCCAGTATTCGTTGCCACTGTGAATTGTTCATTGTTTCTCACAGACTGTCGTCGCCGCTGTTCTTCTACCATAACATTGCAGTGCGGCTTCACAGGCCGTCCACGTGACGCATTAGGTCTGGCCTCCGCTGAACGGATGCTAGGTCTTAGAGAAGGTTCCAGGAAAGAAGAAGTGGATTTTACAGTTTTGGCGGCGCGGAGCCCCAAGTAGTCTGAGCAACTCGACAGTTTTGGCGTTTCAGCCTGGGGAACGCTTCGTCTCAGAGTGGCCACAGAAAGAAAACTATGGGCAGGCTTCTGTTGATAATGGTTCCCCAGCATTTTTCGGCAGCTAGGGGGTCTTAAATCAGTGTCAGGTAGCTCCCCTCTAGTGCTAATCGTCTCTCCATTGCTGAGGCCGTCACCAGTGACACTTAGATTCACATTCTCCTCGCATTGGGAACTTGCGCTATCGCGCTCAGTGGGGGATACCAGACAGACACTTGAAAGGCTTTTCCTCTGGCAGTGCATTTTGTGGGTATATCACATGGGCAGTGGGAGCCAGGGCCGTTAAGATGTAGCGCTGTGAGTGAGTGCAACAAGGCTGTTCTTTTTCTTGCGCCTACGCCTTTCTCTTCATCCAGGCATGAAGGTTGCACTGATCGGGGCAGTTGGAAAACTCAAACGTGGTGGTGATGCCCAGGGTTGTCTACAGTATGCTTGGGAGTCTGTTTATCAAGCTCCTCGCCGTGTGACGCGGCAGTCGGAGTCCTATTGTACACTCCCAATTCAACGGCACAGAACCTTCATCCCCAAGAGAAAATATGGGATCTCTTCGGTATTTTTCGTTGTGATGCATTATAGGATATTCCGTGCTCCATTCCTAGTTCGGCGGGTAGGTGTCACACATCGATACATCAAGGCTTGCTCGTCACTGCGTTCTTTGCGGCGTCCGCTGCCCTCTTTCACGAGAGAAGGCACCTAGTCAAGATTCAAACAATTCTTTTTAGAGCCAAAATACTGTTTATGTGGAACTGCATTCCATTATCTGGGACAGTATTTCATTCAGGTGACCCTGCACCGTAAAAAAGCCACCCGTGGCCCCGACAGTATTGATCACAGAGTGCGACTGAAGCAATGCCTAAAGCTGTGCCTTTTTTATTTTTCGTACCGAAGTGTATTTGACATAGATTATCTGGGAGCCTCGAAAAGGATGGCAAGCAGCGAGGCTTAGAAGTACAGAACCTTAGGCCTCAGGCACAGCCGCGTCCCGCGTAATTCTGGAATATGCATTTCCTGTGCTCGCGATGGAAAAGTGTTCCTGAACCTATCATCATCTGTTTCCGACTCATGTAGCTGTTGTGTCCGGAGTTTTTCCTCGACTCCCTGTAACTGGAGATCCTTACCACAACTAAATTCAAGCCTTACGGCGCCAATTCTGGAGTCCATTAGCCTGTTCTTGGTGTCCTAGAACTTGCCGGCAAGTTGAAAATCGGCAACATTGTCTACTGTGGATGTTACCAAATGAAACACTGTTGAAGAGTGCAGAAAAGGGCCAATTTATCTCCTTACTATCCGTTCGCCCGCATCATGTTGTATCCGCAAAAACCCACAGGGAACAGCCAAACCTGAGCACCCGAAACAGGGAGCAGCAGCCAGAAGCTGCATACCGACCAGTGTTTTTTAAAGGAATTTATACTACTCTATAATAATGGGATTGTCTCGCCAAGCCATTGTAGCAGGAGCTCTTCGAGAGCAAAAGCAAATGCGACGCCGGGAAGAATTTCTGGCAGCTGCACTGGACGCAGTTACCCATCAGAAAGAAATACAACACATTGCAGAGGTGTTCAGAAGGCGTGAAGCAGCAGTCGCAGCGGCTTTCCTGCGCAGAAGAGTGTGCGAGGTGAGGAGTCAACTATCATCTGGGCTGGAGGAAAGAAGATGCAAGTTGAAAGCATTGCTTGAAGGGGAGCAAAACGAAGCAAAAGCTACAATACGGCAGTTGCAGCAGAGTGCAGCAACTAGGGAACACGCTATGATGCAGCGTGCAGAAGCGCTTAGACGAAAGCGTGACCAGGAACGGAATGAAGAGGACAAGCGCCTCTACAATCTTCCACACAAGCAAGGGCAGGATGATCTGCGCTTGCAGGAACGCCGAAAACTCGTTAAGGAGGTATCTTATCCTTCCATTTCTTTCACCGTGCGTGTTATATGACAAATGAGATGGGTAACCGCACAAGGATGTGCTAAATATCTCTACAGCCCTTCAAGCAGTATTGCCAACTTGCAGAGCGGTTCCCCACCAAACTCGCTTGCAGGCAGAAACACGCATTAAACTTTTCACTTACAAGGGGAAGTTGTCTTAAGCAATATTCCACCTTTTGCTATGCGAAATTAGCGCGTTTGTTGCACAGATGCTGGCAGCAAACGCCATGCAGATAGCTATTAAAAAGCAGCAGAAGCAGGAGCAGTATGCAGAAGAAGAAGTGTTCCAGGCTCTATGGACGGAAAATATGAACGAAAAAAGGCTGCGTGAAAAGAGGGCTATTCTTGCTAATATGAAGAAAGCCCAGCAAATGAAAGCTGCCTTGCTTGATCAGGCAAGTGATAACAGTAGACACAGAAACGTTGCTACATACGTGCTTATGCTTCACAAACACTGGTAATATGAGTGCTGCATTTTGTCCTTTTTACTTCTTACCATGTTAGATTAGCGAGAGAGAGAAAGAACGAAAGGAAGAGATGCAGAGGCTCGAAACCGAAAACGAAGCGATAGCTCGTCGCCTGCAAGCAGAAAGTGAGGCTGCTGCCGAGCAACGCTTACAGCAAAGGATAGACAGGTTAGAGAGAAGGAGGGAAATGGATGCTGTGCTTGCTGAACAGCTGGAAGAGCGCCACAGAAGAGAATTGGAAGAAGCCAAGCTTGAAAGGTAAGCCAACCTTCATCCTGTTCTGACTGTTTGCCTGCAATATCCTGCTTTCTATCACCCTCTCTACATCCAAGGCTGTGGACGAAAGCAGTTCTGTTGATTCCAGGCAGCAGCTAGCTACACAAGCCAAAATTGGGCATGAGGCAGAAGAGCGTGCAAAACTAATCAGGGAAATGGAAGTCGAGAACTCGGAGAATGTTCGAATTGTAGGCATTAATTCACTTGGTCGCTAGCCGATTAGCAATTAAAATTCACGCTTCTATCTTCTTACCGTGTCTCCATTAAAAATGTAGCCTGCGTACTAAGGGAATTGGGAACCGCACCCCGGAGCCCGCACGGCACCGCATATGTGGACTGCTACTCTATGAATCAGAAAAACACGCGGTGTGATGTTGAGCGTTCAGCTCATGCAACAAGAAAAACAACGGCAAATCCTAGGACTCCGGAAATTAGATGCCTTGTGCATTGAGGAGCAGCTCGCTGCGGAACGTCGAGAAGAGCTTCAGGTCTCACACCTAGTAGCTTTCTTTCATGAACAACAGCGAGTCCAAAACTTACCGAAACGAAGATACAAAAGTGCTTAGCTGCTCTGTTGTAGCCTGCCACGGCAATTCATTCTCCTCTGTCGTTTCTTGGCCCTGCAGCACCGGTTCTTCCCGTGAAGTTACTTAGTGATTGTTGTGTTGTCTTCAGCGTGCAGAGGCAGAAGCTGCAAGGCGCCAAAAAGAACGCGCGGTGGCTGCTGAGTGCAGAGGTATGGCCCTCACGTCCAGCTAAACATATCACTGTAGCATCTGTGCAGATAGGCACTAATTATTCAAGTGTCGAGAAAAGGCAGCAGTGCATTGAACGTTTCTGATGATGGGGTGGTGGGAGTAGTTGTGCTGATGGATGGTTTATCAACTTGTACACATGCCCTGCTTTGGCCCTTTCTTTTTAGAGCAGAGACGAGCATATCTTCGCTTTTCCACAATCCCTGCTTTTGACCCCCTCCCTTAAGAGCAAATACTATCATGCCTTTGCCTGATATATCAACGATTCAAGCTTCCCTTTTACGCCACTACAGAGCAAGTCAAGCAGCGTGAAGCACTCCGAGCAGCAATGGAAAGCGAGAAGGCATTTGAAAGAGAAAGAGTTACAGCTGCAGTTGCTCAGCATCGTGCGTTGCTTCAGCAGGAGTAAGACCCGCAGCTTCTCACTTTAGAAGAGCAACGTGAGCACCTGCTCCATGGCGCAGACACCGAAGTTTACGGCACAGTTAATTGTATGCCTGCAGACGTGCATCACGGTTTGACGCCATGAGAGCATATCGCGAAGCGCTCGACCACCAAATCACACAGAGACGCATGCTGGAGCTAATGTGGTGAGTCCTATGTCTAGGGCGTCACTTCTAAAAAAGAACAGAAGAAACAATGGGATGATTTAAAAGCTCACAGGATTGCTGCAGTTGTTAGTGAGGCCGTGCATAACCACCACGCATAGCTCGAAAATTAACACAAGAGTGAGCAAAATGGCTTAGAGAACATCTACTCGTCGGACCTCACAGTTGTTGTCTTATGCCTTCTTATAGAACATTTCGCATCTTTAAGCAAGCCGGCTATGGCCCGTCGTCCCCTCCAGTCTATATTGGCAGTTTTCACGGGCGAAAACTATTTTAAGTGGATGAGGCAAATTTCTTGAACACTCGGGCAGGAAAGTTGTAGCACAAACACGCAAAAAATGTCCGAACCCCCGACGTCCAGTCTAGCCCAACTTTAGTGGGCACAACGAAAGACGCCATGAATGGTCCTAGCATCCAATGGTTTGATAGTGCCCCTTCTCTATAGTGCTGCATTCGTTATGTAGCCTGCATGGCAAATAACAACGGTGTAAGCCAGGACCACTTGAGCAACAGTACCAGTCTTTTCTTGGAATGAGACAAAGCGTTGCATCAAATCGTAACGGTCAGAACTCCCTGTCAATGAAATGCCTGCAGTGCGACTGCGCCCGCTTTTTTTGGAAGAAATTTTTGGCACGTCGCCCTTCTCGTGCCAATGGGATCATTGCAACCTTCATGTAATGCGTTTCTTCGCGTCTAGAGATAGCTATAGCTGGTTAGACGCCCCATGATGCCCTCCCACACCCGTAGCTTTAGAACTGGTTTCCTTTGAGGCTCAATTAAAAGCCAAGCTTGCCCATTTTTAAAGCCCAGCGAAAACATTTCCAAGGGACCAACTGGCCGACTTAGTGTTACGCAGCTTCAGGAGCATCCCTGCTCGTTGACAAAAAAAGTTTGCTCGATGGGGTCAGCGAGCACACAGTTAGCCCACTATACTGAAAATTAAAACCAATAAGCTGAACTCGGCAGAATCCTGCCTTCGAAAGCCATCGCAACAGCCTACAAGGCTGCCTTATTCATGTCCTTTGCAGCCAGTCTTTGCTTACTTGCGTTTGCACCATTCGAGCACTGATGCAGAGATGCAGAGTTGCAGGCGTTGCTTTATTGTGCCAAAGCGTCTGATTTTCACTGAATTTATTGTTGCGCTCATTGTTACATATCTGGAAAAGGCTGCCTCCAGAGGTCAGCTATGAGACGATGAGATGAAATAGGCCAACCAAGGGCTCGAAAAAAGCCGTGAACTTCTGGCAAAATTCTGTGACAATTGTTCAGGCTGGTAACCCAGCTTCTTGAGTCTGAAACGCTCTGCGCCTGAAAGCAAAGCAGCACTGAGCAACGCGCGTTGTCGTTTAATATTGATCGACTCGCTTATAAAGCATTTAATTTAAATCTAATTGCTCTCAATTGAGCATATTGAGAGCTAAGGGCCACAACAAAACTTGACGAGAGCACCCCAACAAACAAGCCAGGCAGGTCACTCACTGCGGCTCCTAGCATTGTGAAATAAGCATTGGGTGCCTGTTTGCAGTGGCTTTGCTGATAGATTCATCAATTTTTTGAAGCTTATAGTTCGATATATCGGAAATGTTTAAGATAGAATTGAGAGGAGTAGGCACAGCTGAAGCTACTCAGTTTCCTGCCTGCCGCAATCGACTGAGTTGTTCCTAGGGAACAGTAGGCTTTGCCCGCACTAGCACTGCATTTCAGCATGCAAATATGCATTATTTACTAACTAAGAATACTCAGAAGAGATCTCACTCACAAGTCTCCGGGGTTCTGTTGAGGGCGTCCTGGGGCGCAAATGGAGAGCAGGACAAAGCGTTATCGTGTGTGGCTTCGGCCACACGGCGGGCCGCAAGAAGATCTTTCTGATAAACCTTCCAATCAAAAACCCCAGGAAAGTGGACTTTCGTGCGTGAATTTGGAGGGTAGAAGCGCGAGTGGCTGTCCAGTTTACTACAGCACCGACAGAACTGCCACTAACCAAGATGGCAACAGCGCCATCAACCCCCCATTACACAAGAGCGACGACAAAAACAAAATAACAGAGAGCCAGAGGCTCGGCGTTCGCTTTTCGTCTACTATCCATGTTGCTGCTGCACCTGGTGAAACTCGATTGCCCAATGTTACTACTTCCGCCACCAGCCAAAGCGACACTGTAAGACGCGTTTTGACACAAACTGGTTAGGTAATGAGCACCACAAATGCCTAGAATTGCATGTTCCATCCTATATTTTTGTGAGCTTCGCTGCCTTGAAAGGAAGAGGCCCCGAAACGGATATTCAAGGATGAAAAGGAATTGTACATTCCAAGCAGGTGGAGCTCTTGGGAAGAAAATAAGTACCTTTCACACAGGTCGAAGACTCAGACTCAGGAACTGGAGGTTTCAAGCAAAAACGATGATACCGTCAATTGCAACATTAGCAGAGACTCACTCACAACTAGCCAGGCAAGCACGTCAGCAGGTAAAGCTTTATGCCTACTCTTTAAGAAAGTTTATCCACTTCCTTAATTCAACGAATTATCTTTGATTCGTTTCACTGCTGCTCCACCTTCTGTCTCAGGGAATAGGTTTTCCTTGTCCGCGAGAGAGGTCGTCATTGAAGTACCACGCGGCGGGACAGGCTGGGGAGAAACAAGCTTGAAAAACGAAGGAAGCGCCGCTTTGTCCTTTTCCTTGAGGCTGTTCCATGAAGGACAAGATTCTGAATCCACTCCTGGTTTAAGCGGGACAATCAATTCGCGGTGGAACAACACAGGCAAGGCTGCAACTTCAGTCAACCTACTTACAGTGATAAGCTGAGGGTACTCTGAGTAAGTGGCCCTGCTGCCGCCACTGGAGATAGTTTCTTTTACATTCAGGTGGAGATAGATAGAAGATTGCGTAGACACATTTTTGGATGCAGGCTTCTGCGCGTGGCCCCTACAAGGAGTCATTTTGCCGGGTGATACACAGACTCTGCACTTTGGCTACTGTTTTAGTAGACGAAGCGGGCTTCAGTACTGCTTCTGGGGGCTGCGCGTGTGCCCAACTAGTAATGCTTGCGTTTGTACTGTATCGTCGTCAACAAGCACATCAAGAACGGATTCAGGGAGCACAATTTATACGGTCGCCGTTGTTTCTGCTCCGCCGCTGCCTCTAGAGGGACTTTGGCAGCAAGACAAAAAAACTTGTAGATTGCACGCTATCGATGCGGCGGAGGATATTTTGCGGGTGCTACTACAGGAAACCTTTTGCTGCGCAGCAAAGCGGGAAGAAGCTCTCACAAGTGAGACACATAGACTGTCCCACTATCAGTTCTAGATGACAAAGCAGGTTTTTCTTCACGGGCTGCACAAACAGGACACTATTTTGTCCATAAAAACCCTTTTACTACATGCAGCAATGCATTATCCGGTGCTTGTGTTTTGCCCGTCATTGTAGAGCAACAGCACCTTCGCAGCGGTTCCGTAGTTGAGATAGAACCCCCGTTATCCCTCCACGCGTTGCAGGCATGGACGATCCACTGGCAAGAACAGCCATATTTACGATCGTAAATGCATCAATGAACATCACTGCCCCACCAACGGTAGTGGACTCGCTCTTGCTACTGCAACATCAAGCGAAGTCTCTGGAGTGCTCCCAAGGACAGCAGCTCGAGTTGCTGCACACTCGTTTTACCTCACCCACTTATAAAATCTTGAGTGAAGTGCAATCGCTAGAGTCTGGGGAGAGAGTCACCGAAGCACCAATTCTACTGGAGAAGGCAGAAACAGCAAAAGCCTATGTTCCGTCCCTCTCAGATGCGATAGCTGCGGGAAAGGCTGATATCACAATGTTCAGCGTGCGAGCACTCCAAAAGCAGATATGTCAGCTTCCTGCGGAGGAGCGTACACAGCAACAGCAGTTCTCTTGGAGCCTTAGGAAGCTTCTCAGTGACTGTGATGACTCCCAACTCGTGCTGCAAGACCCAGAAAAGGAGACGGATTTGCACCCAGCACTGCTGCTGCAGCGAGAGATGGAGAGGATATCGGCAGCTGAAGCAGCACTCTACACGGCGTTGAGTAATGCAATAGAGACATTTTCTGCAGCGCTGACCGAGGCCCTCGAGATGGCAGGACTAGCCTGCATAGAAGGTGCGCGTATTCATTTGCCTCTGCTGAGTTATTCATTTCTGGCGGCGCTGTTAGGCCAGGTTGGCACTTGACGGCCCCAAATTCAGCTAAAGAACAGTGCCTGGTATTTAGCAACTCTTCTGGTGCTTCTCGTTTGAGTGTCTTCGCACTCTCTTAGTGACCGTGTGAGCTGTTAATGCGTCTGCAGATGAAAAAGGACGACAAGCAGGAAAGAATTTCAAACGGCAAGCGAATCGGGGCAGGCGTGACAGCAAGGCCTCCGAAGATTCCAGTAGAACCTCAGCGACAGCAACAGCAGCAGCAGTCGCTGCTGCGGCAGCCGCCATAGCTGCAAGCAACAGCGAACCAGAGGACGATGGACCCCAGACACGGCAGCATGTTGCAGAGCAGCTGCTGCAGTGGCTTTTAAATGAAGCTATAGCTGCTGCAGAACCGCAGATGATGTTGGAGGCAGCACAGAAGGCAGCAGCTTGGGGTGGTGTCCTTGCTGAAGCTGCGCGACACAGATGCCAGCATCGGCTGCCCTATGAAGCCCTTGAGCAGCAGTTGCAACGAACACCATTGCCGTCCATTTTAGATCGTCGTGTGCACCTCATGGCTGAATACCTTTCTAAGAAACAAGCGCACACTGTTAAAGGCTGTGCGGCATTCTTACCCGTTAACTTCCTGTTATCTTGTTTTCTGAAGTAGCCACCCATTATCAGGAAAGAAACGCTAAGATCAAAACCTAGCTAGATAGACGTGAGAAAACAACTACAGGCACTCATGCTGATGTCTGTTCTGCAGGTACACGAGGTGTCGTACTTTTTGATGGGAGCACTACAGCTGAGCTGCTGTCTCTCTTGCAGCAGCAACCCTCGGCTGAAAAGCAGATCTGGATGCAACAACTACTGCAGCAGCGTTTAGGTTACCTAGCTGACCTCTTACCAGAGTCAAGAGACGGTCTGTTGTTGTGCCTGGAAATATCTTCTACGCGTCATCAGCAGCTACAGTTCCAGCATCCAACGCTTCTGCAGCAACTGGTGCAAGAACTAGTCGAAGGTTACTTACTTCCAGCCTTATTTGGGGATGAACCACAGGAAATTCAGCCGCCTATTGTTTATCTTGAGACCCCGGAAGACTTCGCAGCTCTAGTAGATGACGCCTATTCTAGGCAAGTGGCTGCAGCAAGCCATCATGTACTACCTCAAAGTCCCAGTCCCGCGTCAACTGAAGACGGAGAATACGGAGACGCAGAGGGCCTTCCCTGTCTCCTTGTTGTTCCCTCGTGGCAGCAATTCTTCGTTGCAGCGACCAATAAGCTAAAATCCCTGCAGAAACAGGTGACTGCGGCAAATTCTCAAAAGATTTCAGACGCAGCACAAGACGGAGACGACGACGGTGCCGCAACTGCTGCAGAAACAAATGAATATAATTACCTAATCGCGAAAAGGCAGCTTGCTGCACTTTCGGAGCTGCTTCATATTGATTTTGTTGTCCTTGACACTCCTTCCTCTATCTGCCAAGCGGAAGAGGGGTCACTTGCAACGGAAGGGAAAATCGTGCAGAAAACCCCACAGACCTTGGCTTGGGTCTCAGCCACAGCGAGAGCCAGCAGCCCCTGGCTGCTAGAAAATCGAACGACCCGCGCTCTGGGTCCCCATGCAATAGCGTATTTGAAAGCTGCTTGCGTGCTCTTAGGAATTGATTCATCTGCATTGCAACAGCGCGCGTCAGAATTTGTAGCAGACTGGAGAGAAGAGAGGCATGGAAGGCAATCCTTAGATGCAGCCGCTGCCTTAGCAATGCGGAAAGCTCAACGCAGCTTCGAAACTTTGTGTACGGACAGAAGGAGCTGCTGCTGCATCATTCCACATGTTTCGACGCAAAGCAATGGCGCCACCTTGAACCCAAGTCCACATCCACAAGAAGGAAGAGCAGTGAACGAACCTTTAGTTGTGATAGACCAGCAAATCAAGCACAGAGTCACCGCAATCTTGTGTTCCTACTGGGACAGCGCAGTCCCCATGGGGCCGGCCATGAGTGCAGCTGAAAATACAGCTTCTCAGGAGTTGCTCTTTAAGTGGGCCTCTTTGCAGCTACAGAAGCTGAGAATGCTAGTCTCTGGAACGATCGTTTCAAACGTGCTCTTGGTAGGGGACCTTGTCAGTCTTGTTTGCGGCTTGGCATTGAACGGGGATCTCGCAATGCAGCCAAATCAGCAAGAAACGCCAAAGCAAGAAGATTCCGCAGTGGAACCATATTATAAAGCGGACAAGGCTGCAGCAGGCGCTGCAGCAGCAGCTGCTGCTGCCGCTGAGCCTGCTGAGCAAGGCAGGCTGGCAAGAGGTTGGCTGCGGCTCTGTAAATCAGTGACAGCAGGTAGTGGTAGGAACAGCAGCATAGCTAATGGCGGCTGCAGCATCCAGCCACGAATTCATGGGCTACAACAACTGCGCAAATTTGTGCACCAGCAGCTGAAGATCATCTTGGAAATAGGTGGGTACAATGCAGTATGGCTGCAATGATAAAGCCGAAGCAGTATGCATGTTTCATAGATTATGCGTTGCTTCTCCACTGCAGCACATGAGAGGGACGTCATCATACAACTGCCCACTGAGGTGCTTTTCCGGGTGGATCCGCAGCCTGGTGGTCCTCCCCAAGCTTGCGCTCCAGTAGAGACGCCAGCGCGTGTGCGGAAAACCAGCGATGCTGGAGGGGGAAATCAACGGAATAGCACTAAAAATCGAAGGGGCAACCCCAAAAGGGACTTCTCTGAAGGTCACTTAGAGGACACTGCAGCAGGTGAAGCGATGGGAGTCAAGGCCGCTGAAGATGACAAAGAAGCTTCCACGCTTTTAGTGTGTCATTTGCCCCCGGCTGAACTCTTGTGGGACGTGATCTTCGCTGAAGGAAGCAACGCATGCACGCCTTCTGAGGATGGGAGCAGAAACTCAGCAACAGCGAGACGGCGCTCGCAAGAGTCACAGGAAAATATCAGAGCCTGCGCAACGTACGCAGGTTTAACAGCAGAAGCAGTTGAAGCTGCTGTATGCTCGTTTGGAGGACCAAACCACGTTTTGTGGCTAGGCGAGAGGTTGAGCAAGCAAGCGGATGGAACGGACACCCTGCTGGCCGCAGCTGGCATTTTCGATGCCACAACAGTCATGATGGAAAGTCTTCTGCAAACCAAAGAGTACAAAAGAACTCCACATGATGAGCGATCCACCATAATTGAGTTTAAAGCGAGCCAGTGCAGTTGTTGGCTGCTCCGCGTAGCCGTCTGTAGGTTGCCTCCTTTCTATCGACTTAGGTATTAAAATTACTTTTTTCCCACCCAGTTACGTGCGTTTGTGATTCCTGTTGCTTGTCATGTGTAGTGTACTTGAAAATAGCTTTACCTCCGGAGTTGATGCCTTTGGGTACGGAGCACCAAGCCAGGATCTCGTAAGTAAACGACCGAGTGAACAAAATGTAATGCATATATAGTTAGCTCCCTATGATATCTACATTAATGTGCTCCGTCCCACCCATGTGTCTAGGCGACTTTTTCACCGTCAGCATCGTTTGACGTCGATTCAAGCCAATCCAGCATGATGAGCAACACGAAGAGTGTGAACATGAGCAATATTCAGAAGAAATCAGGGGTAGAACATCTCTTATTGTTCGGTCCTATAGCAAGAAACAGTTGGACTCTGACTGCTGAAAAAGGAGCTCTTAAAGTCGAAGCGTATCTTGATGCGCAGCCTCTGCTTCATATGCTACAAGGGAGAAGAGTCAAGGATTTCCTCCTGGCAGATGATGCACTAAGCATGGAGGAAAACGTCGGGATAAAATGAATTCAAAGACTGTCTCCAAACTCCAGGTGTAGAGTAAATATTCACTACTGCTGATTCTTGTCGCCTACATTGGTAACTCAGATGCTAGAATATGCAGCACAGCTTATAGTTCCGATGGCGGATGGGCGACTCTAGCGCAGCCTTCACTAGCAGGCGTGTCCCGCTCAGGGCATGTAAGAACTATAAACTCAGTTACCAGCCTCGAGACTGCTTCATTGGGAATTCGAAAACTCTGGTTCCACTCCACTTCACGCTTTGCCATGTTTGCATTATTCGGCTCTGTGCTGCCAGAAGCACCCCAACCCAACGATTGACAGTAAAAGGCTTACCACGAATACGGACGTCTTTTACGTAGCAGGGAGCCTCCCAAGTCGGAAGCAAATGACGTACGCACGGAAAGCACGTGCTGCTGTGCCAGGCAGCGCCTCCCCTACAAATCTCTGCTTGTCTGAGGTGGCATAGTCGAAAGCAACGAATCCCTATATGCATGCTACATGCTTTGGCAAATTAGCAAACATAAACGCGTCAAGAAATGTCATACAAGCTCTCGGATATCCATGTAGAGAGACACATGCATACATATATAGAGGGGCACATGCCGGTGACCACAAATCCAGGAAAGTTCCAGACAAAAGTTGACTTCTACGCATTTCGAAATTTCCTGTATTCGTGAAATCCGAGCGACCTTGCATGCAAGTAGCTTACAGGAGTATGCGGTTGCAGGTCGTAAAAAAAACGCCATCCCTATCGGAACAGCAGCATCATCCCCACAGCTAGAATCGCAGGCGAGCAGAACAGCTAAACTGTTCTGCTCGCCTGCAATTCCCTTAAGAGGCCACTCGGCCCACAGAAGGCAGCGGAAAGAAAACAAAATCTTGCGATGCGAATGAGTGCTTGCAATATCGGCTAGTGTGCGGGTTTGCGCCAGAAACCTCCCGCTGGAGGTGGCCTGGACAGCAAAGCGAGTAGTGTATTTCCTCGTGTACATAACATTCAAGGGCGGATATGTCCCATTCCTTTCTAGTAATTCCGTATGGCGCATGCTTGCTCTAAACTTGGTGGGCGCTGTTTTTCCGATTGTTTTTCCAATGGACGAATACTGCTACGCAAGAGCAAGTACTTCGTTAACGCCACATGGCTAGCTCAAATTACTTTCGCACCTCCAACTTGCAAACGTGCTCATAAGGCAAGCCCTCAACAGCAACTCCTGTACAAGGCAAAGAAGCGAACACAACCGAAGCTCTGCATCAAATATGTCCACACCGAAAGAGCCACTAATGTTTACAGGGATACGTGACATTAGAATCAAAAATACGTAGTTCGGCTTTCTAGATCAGCTTATACCCACCTGAATTGCCCCGGTACTTATCTAGCTTGAAGAGGGGCCCTGTGTCCAAGGTCACTCGCACCGAGTACGAGTCAATGTTCAGCGCCTCTAGCCTTCCTTCGTGACCACGCCATTCGCCAAGGACCACAGCAACCCGGCCGCCAATGGCCTATTAAAAAGGAACAGAACGTAAGTGAATGCATTATGCAAACCTGAACTGTTCACACCGTATCTGGAAGCCTCCTTATAAAACTCGGCAATCAGAGCTGACCGAATTCCGGTTTTTTTGCAAGTGTCAAATGTGCAGCTAGCTCACAGGTATTACCGTCTCCAGATATTCCTGATCTAGCTTCAAGATCGCACCACCTTCTAGCATCTCCAAAACAGCAGAATACCTAAGAAATGCACACTGGAATTTGACAGCCAGGGTGTTGCTGACTGCACGGAAAAAGTACCCGCCTGAAATGTCTTGGTACGACAACCGGTCCGTTTGTTGTTCTTGAAAAAGGGCTTACTGACTGAGGAATTTAGCCTTCGCATTCTCACCTGCCATCCACAGCTTTCACTACTCCTTTTTGCTTGTAGTACGTTCCGTCACCCAAAGTCTTGTGCACCACCTTGACAATCAAGCTGGGCCGTATCCACCTACACAAGAGCAATAACAAATGACGAAAGATATGAACGCCCACCGAACACTGTCCGTGTGCAGTTCATTTTGATTTCAGCAGCCTCACCAGTCAGCACCCGCGTGCTTGTGCGCTGGTGGGCGAAGCCAGGAGCTGGCATGGGTATCACTGTTTCTTTGTTCTCTGCTGTCATTATCAGCTGTTGCTGAAGAAGACCGTTCTTTCAAGGGCGGACTCCCTTCAAATACGGCAGTTTTTTTCTTCTGGCATTCAGCCTCTGCTACCAAAGCCTCCATTTCCGAAAGCTGTAGCACAGAAATCCGTGGGCAGCTGAGACGCATGGAGGTCCTAGAAATGGCATGTCCATCTAGTGACAGAGAAATCTAAGCATTCGCACACACTGCGAGGCGTGTATGCACTCATGGTGAGGTACGCACAATGGCCACGCAATCGCACTGACTTTACCTTGCGTTTCTCCGGCAGTCCTCTGCTTTTACTTTGACGTTCCTGCTTCAGCTTTTCGTGCAGCAGCTGCAGCGCATTGGCCTTCTTGTCTGCGGACTCACGCGGCTTGCTGATGCTGAGTGTGACGGTTTGCCCATCTTCTCGCTGTAAAGGCGTATATTCCTGAGGGTACGACAAAACAAGCACAAGCAACAGGAATAGCAGCAGCTGCACGAAAGCTATGGCAACTGCAGCGGCTTATTCTGCGCAGTGCTTCGTAACCCGTCGGTCTCTCATGCACGGCAAGCACTTTAGGTTGTCGGGCCCACCGGCTTCTGAAATCCTCCCCGTTGTCTGGCCTCTTCAACAAGAGCTTGAATTTGCTCCATGCGAGCTTCTTCCTGCGACTTCTCTATTTTCCTTTTTTTCTCCAACTCCTTCTGCATCGCATGCATAGTTGTAATGCGCAGCAGCAGGTCAGTAAAGTTCCCCCCTTGATAACCCTCTCCGTGCACAGTTACTGCTGCTTTCCTTTTGTCCACGCATGGCTCCCGTGGGCGTCTTCTGCTATCGTCGGAGTCTACACATGCTGCTCACCTTCCTTGCCAACTCTTCATGGTCAATGTACTCCACATACCAACCCTTGGGAGTATACTCAATTTTACACTTTTCCGTTGCCCCCAAGTACTGCGATCACAGTACAACCCAACCTGTAACTTTGAAAAGCAAATATTACGCCGCTCCACAAAAGATGAAGCGAACCAGCCAGTCATGAACGGACTTGATTAGAAGTTATCCAAGTGAACTGCTTGGGGATAGACCGCTACGATGACCTCTGAAGCAAGAATGAAAAATGTCGAGCTTTTACCTGCACAAATTCCGATAGAGTCACCCATATAGTGGAGTTCATGTGGATATGGTGCCGATCACAGACGACGTTGTTGTAGACGGAATTCGCCAACACCCGGGTGCGGCAGTACCTACAAAAGTCAAGGAGGTCAAGATGTCGCACTTCATTCCTAGTCCCCCAAAAATCAAACATATGCAATTTTTAAAGTGGTTTCTGAAGCGCATCAATTAAACATTACGACGCTCTTGGAGAGTGGTTTCTTATGCTATCTAGTATACCAATCAGACCCGCTGGACCCGATATGCACCTCGTTTTCATAAGTTTCATAAATTCTTCCTCGAATTCCCGAGAAAATTCGTCCATGAAGTGCCCAGGGCGCTGAATGAATAGCTGCATTGCGCGTTGGTGGCCTTCTGACATCCTGTGACACTGCGACGGACTCACATTTGCAAAGCACTTCATAACAGGGGACTCAGATGTTACAAAAGTACTCACGCCGTAAGGCAATCCGCAGAATGTCAGCATCTCAGCCTGAGTGCCTTCGTGCCTGATGCAATGTCGCTGTTGTGGCTGGGTGTAACTCCCTCTGGGGATTGCCCTTGCTGTTATCGCGCCAGTAAAGAGCGCTGCTATGGCCATACTTTGAAGCCATTCTCATCCCGGCATTGCTTCTGGCACATTTGGCAGTACCAGCGAAGCTTCTGGAGGCCGGAGGCCTTGATCTTGTTGCTCATCCATTTTGGCGTCCCAAACTCCGCCTTGGGCATTGGACCGAGGGGGAGAGCTCCAAGTCTGCAGCTGTTAGACCTGCCCGTTTACCCAGGGCCTCTGCAGAGGCTCTTCAGGAGGGAATGCGCTGTAGTTGCTCCGTGTCGCGCCCGCTATGGCTGAAGAAGATACAAAAAATGAGGGAAGCGCGACAGCGCATCGAAATGCAGTGCAGAGAGAAGTTGTTGAGCAAACGAAGGAGCTTCTGCATCAATAATCAGACTATTCAGCAGATCTTATGCCATGTGTTTTCAAGTGCAAGGCTGCTCGTCAACTTCGGAGTCTTTGGGACGCGGCTGCTACTTCTTCCAAGCTGTATTGCGGCGGCGCATGGCTGAGGTGACAATAATGAGGAACCATGGAGAAGTCAAAAACTCGTTCTAGTTCTCAAATTCCAAATTTTGTTCGTCACCACCAACTTCCACACTACTTCTCACAGTTCGGAGGGAAGCAGGACCTGGGCGGTCATACCACCGCCAGTGTACCGCCAAGAAACCCCTTCTGCTCCAGCTTGTACGTGGTATGCATCTCGTTTCGTTACAGTTCTGTAGAATGACTCTTGCTTAACAACAGAAGTACTATGGCAAGCGTTGCATG